AGTGCACTATTAAACTTCAGTTTTAATAAATTCAGCACAAAATCATAAACGAAGAAACGAACCATATGGTAAAGCTGAGATATCTTGCGTATGTCAACTGACTGAGAAAGACGACAGCAGTCTGATTCCGCAATGTACTTAGTGAAACTTAAATATTAAGTTTTTACTATAATCTCACTTCTACATCTGAAAGAAGAGAAATGCCCCCAGTGTATGACAAGCATAATGCTCCGCTTAATAAGTTCAATCTAATTCAGCACATGACCTGTTCAAAATGCAAATGAAAATACGGTACAAAAATAAGGAATTTAAATGAATCTCGAAGACACGTGGTAATCTATATCGGTCCACCATCTCAAAACTGTAGGCTGTATTTGGAATACGCTTAATTTGCGTAAAAGCATCAACGATCATTATTTTAAGGATAAGATGTTAAAGAAACAAGAAACTGTCAGCAGTCAAAAAATAACATCAGCGAATATTTTCTCTATGATGAAATATTGCTTAAAAAGACATTACAAAAGGAAAAGATACTGATACTTATGATGATCCGTGCCTTCTTACTCTAATCAGTTTCCATCAATCTATCGCTACAAAAATAACCGATATCTTATGGCTTAGGTCTTCACTTCACGGTCAACCGTTAGAGCCAAGTCATCGGTTACATCAATAACTGCTGGACGATAAAAACAGGCGAGACAAATAAAACTTGAGCTTTATAATCAAAGCTAATTTAAAGCAGACTATTTTAAAACGAAAATTCATTGAAATTTACTTGATCATTCAAATTCGCATAATACCGCCTATATTTTTTCATAAAACGATTGTCTTTGCATCACTAATAAACGCAGTATGCCTACTGTATTACACTGATTAACTCTGTGGAAGAAACCCAGGTTTATATTTGACCATAAAATGTTTTGTTTCAGTTACTCTAGAACAGACTGAGAAAAGTTCACGTCCAAAAGCAGTTTAGATTATTAAAATGCGGAATTTTTAAGCATCGATTTTTGGCGTGGACTTCAACCTTTACAGTTCTTAAGAAGGAGCATTTCAGAAGCAAAGAAACATTGGAACAATCACAAATACCCATAACGAGAATGTAGCTCTCTCTTTAACCTTGAATGGTTAAAATGGATTTGCACCACGCCCAGCAAATTAGCCATCATAATGCCTCCGAGGACTTATGTAACATTGAAACATTATTCCAAATTACCCTTCCCGATTGCGCCAGATACTGATTTTAAAAATGCATATATCGACGCTGATTACCTGAACGGCTCAGAAGGAAGGTCCGCTGAGGTTTCGTCTCCGTTGCAAGGAGGACTGCTTGTGGCTTTGATACAGTGCTCATCTATTTCTGGGGAAATGACAGAGGCTTCATTGTCCTTTGATATCCTGTCCGTCTTATCACCGCCGAATAGACAGTCCGCATCGCCATCGCCAGGGACATTAGAAGGCAATTTCTCATTACCTACAGACTGAAGTTCAGAGTTACTCTTATCGCTCTGTTCGCCTTCAATCTTAACTCGTTTATTTAAAACTGGGCCGTTCTCCACCGTACGTGGACTGTCCGAGTTTTTATTCGAATGGTTCTTTAAGCATTCAGTCGCAGAATCTCTCGACCGCTTGGTGGCAGCATTAGAAGTCTTTAAAACTGTTTCTGTTTCCTCCACTTTCTCGCACGGGGGAAACGAAGAAATCCGTTCATTGACCACGCCCTCAAACGCATCCTCTCGTCGCTGCAGTACGTTCTTGTCAATACCGGCATTTAACTTACGATTTAACAAACGCCATGTAATGTCATCACTGCAAACATATTTCTGTAACAGTTGGTCAAGAGGCAAATGACACTCTTCCAAAAGCATGTGTTTTTCTGCATCATCGATTTCTAAGTTTATGAAAATTGATTTAAATCTATTAAAAAGCATAGCTACCGATTACCTAAGCTTTCGTCCGTTTTCTTCGCAGCGCTATTTGCATCCGCTCGCAACTTCAGCTCTTTCAGCACCTCTGGTTTCATCAGACTTTGATCAAATTTCAAAAATGCATCTTCTAACGCTTGTCCTAACTTTCCACCTTTCCAGATGTCTAGGGATTTAAGAAACTCAGGAAAATTTTCACACGAATATTCAGCCACCTCTGATCCTGAAAGCAAGGTATGAGCAGCTTAAAGAAATTTATTACTTCTGTGTTCACCTCCATGACCGTCATACACCGCAAAGAAAGCGCAGTTGTTGTCGAAGTTTAATATACAGTTGTGAGCATCCTAAAACGTCACTGATTTTGTAATTACTCAAATTTCGGAGAAAATTCAAATCTTCATGAAAATCCCATGAAGATCTAAACTTCATAGCAACAACCAACAAATAAGCCTCAAAATGAATCAAGCCACCTCTTGATGAATGCGCCATCCCTGCATTGACGTCGCGCCATAAGACCAATGTTCATTTTCACCGCTTGAACTCCTTTTCTCTGTTACCGGCGCAGATAAATAAACGCCCATCGCAAACTTGGGCCTCTGACGTACAATGCGGCAAAACCCTATTGGAGTACTATACACCGTATCTGCCACAAAATTATTATGCTCATGTAACAGTTGCTTATAGCATTTAATCACAGTAATTTTCGCATGTTTTAATCGGGAAAGTAACGTTAAAACGACATTGGAAGATAAATATTTGGTTCGTGCCCAGATGGTTATACTGGAATGCAGAGCAAAAACAGTTTATTAATGCACAGACAAATATAATGGCATATCAGATGACCGACTGATACCGAGGTTTGATCCCGTATCTTGCGAGCATGTTAGAGAGTAAAAAGTTGTTAGCGTTTGCAATTGCTCAGATCGCCTTCAGGAAGTGGCTTATTTAGAGTCTCTATCTGTAATTTTTTGCGGAAAAGTATACTAGACAATCAAGG